GTGGCGCTGTCGTTGTTAAACGGAGAAACTTCAAAACAATGCACAAGGCCCTCACTTTGTAGTTCTCCCAAATCAACCCTTCCCCAATACGGGGGTGCTTCCGTCTATATTCAGGCTCGTCCCCGGAGCGAGTCATGCAGAATGGTCCACGACAACCAGATTACAACTGGGATTATTACACTCCGCAAGATAATAAGATTTGTCTATCTAACGCTATGGACAATGCAGAAAACGGGTTTTCGAGTACTTCGCGTGCACCCGCCCTCCCTGTGTTCTTCATTTGAACAGGAAACAGCAGTGTCCATACCGCCTAGCTAAAGCTAAAGAGGAGCAGGCGAAAAACCTGCAGCAGGAACAATCGAAAAAAAAAGCAGCAGTTGCTGCAACAAGCAAGACGCACGTCTGTACAACCATCTCTTGGTCCTCGCTGCTCCCTTGGGACTGACCGATCCCGCAGCGACTGCATCCACTGCAACAAGGGCTGACGATAAAGATGGGATATGCCTGACTAAAGGTCCCCCATCCTCCCCTTTTCTTCTCCAGGTGTCGCTGTTGTTGCCATACACCGCTGCGCCAAGCGCTGCACGTCGCTGACGAAGGCCTCAGCAGAGGCAACAGCCTTCCAGGAGTCCGACGCGAACTTTGACTGCCGGACAGAAGAAGAAAACGAAGAAAAATAAGAGGCATCGGGAGGGCTCCCCACGTCCAGAACCCCCGTCACGAGGCCCGCACGCGTCAACGCCATGCGAAGCACCTCCCGCGGCCCGCTACCCCCGCAAGATGCCGCATGCAGCACAAGCTGAAGCAGCCACAGGACGCACATGCAGAGCAGACAAAGGAGCATGATCAGGCGCATACACCATGCTTAAGCGGACTGACACCTCATCAAAAGGCCAAAATACTACAACTTAGCAACAAACGAAGACAGAAAACAGATGGGGAGCAGGAACAAAGCATGCAAGAGTAGGGAGATGTATGTGACTATGGTGAAACGAAGCCGCTAAAGGACAGTTGGATGAGAAGGAAATTGGTAGTGCAGAGACTGACAAGGAGTGTTCTGGCGTGGGACTCGAAAATTCCAGGAAGCAAACGTTCTTCCCCTGCAAATGCCATCTGCGCGGCCTGCAAGAGGGCCGCCTGGTGAGCGCGAGGAACAGGAGAAGGAAGCAACAAGACAGTCGAGTGTCTATTTGCCTCACTCGCGTCTTCCGTAACTACTGCAGCGCAAGAATGTAAGACAAACAAAATGTATGTATGTAACTAGTCTTTCTCATCCCCAATGCCTGTCTGCGTTCAACCTGAGCGGAACCCACTGCTGCACGAGCCTGCAACACCGGGGTATATTATAAAACATTATAAACTAGGAGAATTTACAGTTTCGTAGTCGTGTGGCGGCCTCGGCTCGTCGCAGCAGGGGCACCATTCGGCTAACAGATGCAACGGAGAAGACCCCGTCGGCATCTCCGACTTCATTTTCGGGTGTAGCAGCAGTTAATGCACCTTGAATTTGCTGCAAAGATGCCAGCAGGACGAACACGAATGACTTTATAGAGGAAACCTGAAGAAACCGCCTCCTCCCTCCCCTTCTATACCCGTACTGGAGCATGGTCAGCTCCGGTGCAGACAGCCTATTACGACTCCCCCATGACGCCTATTATGCTTCGATCCAGGAGTCAGCTAATGAAAATATACTTCATGATTTAGGTGCGGTTTATAAAACCAACACCAACCCATTCCATCGCCGCACTACCTATACACGCGGCGGATATATAACTGCTGGTGGTGCTTAGCATAGGCGCTCCTGTAGAAACCAGCAAAGACCCGGCTTCCTCCTCGTCCGGTCTTCTTCAGTCAGCGTGATTTACATTTTTTACATTATCTTTTATGTTAAAAATGATATTTTGCGCTAAAGTTCAACTTGCTGCTGGGCACTATTCGCCTTCAGCCCCGGCCGCAGCCCCGACGGCGCCAGGCCCATCACTGATGACCTTCGCCGACTGGTCTAGCTGAAAACATGAATTCTGAGTTTGCAGATTCATTTCAGCAGATGTAAGCCGTTGAACAACCTGTCTGGTGCAGATTTCTGCTGTTGGTGGCCCCCGAAACTCCCGTGTTCATTCGGTTTCTTTTCGCGCGAACTTGAACATCATGTCCGCTGTGGTCATGAGGAGATGGCGCACATGCTGCTCTCCTCTTCTCGCAAGTCTACGTTCTCGATTTCCGCTGGTTGTGGGACCCCAGCAGCGGCTGTTCACGACAGCTGCTGCCCCAGGGGAGGCGACCCCTTCGGCAGCAGGCGCTGCTGCTGATGCATTCCCATTCCTAC